GGGAAATATATGTCAAACAGAGGTATGACCTTGAACGTTCATTGGAAATGCGAGGCCAGCCTGATGGAGAGCATTCGGCCATCCTGTAACAGGAGAGTAACTGGAAAAAAGCTCTTGTCTGACTATGGCACCATCACCCTGACAGAAACGTCTGGGAAACACCCTGCAGGCCACACTTAATTTTAATCTCTGTCAAGCAAACTAAACCAACGACTGAACAAATGACAGTAAGGTCTGCTGCCTAGCGAGCCCTTCCTGATGCACGTCAAAATATTGCTGTTGGCCTTCTTGGTCACTGCTTGCATTAAAAAATAAAGAATAATCTGCGACATCTCGCCCACTGATAAGCAATGACTCACGTTGTTGTAGCCAGCAACAGTTAGCACCGCGAGAGCTCAGCGGCAGACAGAGAGAACAGAGACACATACCTGGACAAGGAAGATAATGAGAAAATAAAAATTGGCTATTCTCCTGAACTGTTCAAACATATTCTTGGGAACAAAATTCCAAATGGTATACTGCAAAGAAAAGAGAAATAAATGACAATACATCGATTAAAAACAAACAGAGCAAGAGAATAAAAATCTCTGATAATGCATTTAATTATTTTTATCCAAAACTGCTCTGAAATTTGAGGATCCCCACAAGATATGAATTCAAATACTAGTGAGGCCCAGCACTGTTCACAGGATACAGTGACACTGAGATTGGTGCAAAAAAAAAAAAAGGTACAAAAACGTAACATTTCTGGGGATGCTGCAGGGAAACACGTTTCTGCCTCACCTTAGAGGATATGATCCTATTGTCAGCAAACTTTTGCGGGACGTAGTGTCCATGTTGAGGGAATCTGTTGGCTATGTAGACCGTCCTGGTGTCACTTTGGTGTGGGGGGTCGAAACCCTGGAGAGAGGTGGGCGGAAAACAAGTCAGTCAGCAAGACTTCTCTGAGGCAGCCGGCTTGGCTCTGCTTGTGACGGAGAGGATAAACCAAACATCTCTCAGTGTTATTGCTCCAACAAAATACTGGCTGATCTATCTACTGCACACCGCGAAGAAGGAAGTGCTGGCTGGGTAAGGACCTCACCGGGACGTACAGATACTGCTTGTTTAGCTCGGCGCTTGCGGAATATTGTGTACTAATGTGGTGACCAACATTGTTGTTCTTGGATTAGTGCAGGGCCTCGTTATCTGTTACCCTCTTCGGAACCGGCAAGGAGACGTGAACCAGAGAACCCAAATGGGACTGACCAGTTAAAGCACTCGAACCGAGAGCAGGAGGCACATCTTTCATAAAAACTCCTTACATATATATATATAGCGCTTTTCTGGACACTCCACTCAAAGCGCTTTACAGGTAATGGGGATCCCCTCCTCCACCACCCCCAGTGTGCAGCCCCACCTGGATGATGTGACAGCAGCCAGAGTGCGCCAGTCCGCTCCCCACACACCAGCTCTCAGTGGGGAGGAGAGCAGAGTGATGAAGCCTGGTCAGAGATGGGGGTCATTAGGAAGCCATGATTGGTAAAGGCCAAGGGGAAATTTGGCCAAGACAACAGGGGTAACACCCCTAGTCTTTTTGAGAAATGCCCTGGGATTTTTAAAGACCACAGGGAGTCAGGACCTCTTTTTTACATCTCATCTGAAGGACTGCGCCTTTTTACAGTATAGTGTCCCCGTCACTATCCTTGGGCATAAGGACCCACACAGACCGCAGGGTGAGCACCCCCCACTGACTCCACTAACACCTCTTCCAGCAGCAGCCTTAGTTTTTCCCAGGGGTCTCTCATCCAGGTACTGGCCAGGCTCACACTGGCCAGGCTTCAGTAGGCTGCCACTTGTGAGCTGCAGGGTGATATGGCTGCTGTCTTTTCACAAAGGAATGTGGGCGTCTGGAATAAGCTGCCCAGTCATGTGGTTAAAACCGATGCCCTGGGTTCTTTCAAGAAACGGCTGGAGCAGATCTATAGATTAACAATGTATTAGCAATCAAATGAGGTAGACTGGACAAATGGTCTCCTCTCATTTGTTAAATGTTCTTATTCAGAGAGAAAGACGCTGACTGTACAACGTATTCTACAAGACAACAAAGTCCTGATATGTCATTTGTCCTGAATCTAACAGGATTGTATCGTGAAGAGATATATTACTAAGCAGAAAATACCATTGTAAATAACTTGAAACACAGTGTCTCCTTTTATTTCTTATACTGTTCAGCCCAGATGACACAAAACCAGGGAATGAGACATTTCAAATGATGGAATAGGCGACATACTGTATCCAACAAAAAACTAAAACTTAAAAATATAAAAGATCACTAAAACACTAAGGTTGCATTAGAAAAAAACGTTCTAGCTCTCATTATTACTATAAAGATCTGTTAAATACAAATAGACAGGAATTAACAAGGAAGGAATCTTATACCTTCAAATAGTTGTAATGCTACTGCACTACTGTAACACCAGTGTCTGTCTGTAACAGCTGATCCAAGCCAAACCTAAAACATTCTTTCAACAAACAGAAACTGCATGCAGCAGAGTTACATTGAAAGGAAGGGAGACACACATGCTTTTAATCGGGCTTCCCCATCTCTTCCCCACAAGGCTTCGGGGCACTGGACAGCTCGGCCACAGCCAACACCACACCGAGAGGCTCTTCACCTCACAGAATACTTTGCATGAATAAGCCAGTGACTTTGAACATTTTTTCCCCTAATAGTATTAAACACAATAACAACTTCTAATGAGGGGTAAAAAGAGGAACCTTCTTTGGTTACAGCGAGACACTTCCTGAGCCCTTATGCAAGTCTTCCAGAAAAGCTTCACGCAGAGCTGTAAGGCTTTTCTTGTGTGCTTTTTCATGCCCTGGACTTCCATGCTAAATCTCTCTTGAGCTTGAACTTTATTGCCATATGTAACCAGTACATGTACTGGTACAATGGAATTCTTACTTATAGAAAGTATCTCGATTGTTAAAACAAGTGTAAAAACACAAAGTGCAGACAGTGCATCAAGGCGATATACAAACAAACAGTGGACAATGCACAAGCAAACAAGTAAACAGTTTGAATGTAAACAATGACTGCGGATGTGCAATAATGAGGTAGATTATAATGAGGTAGATGGTGTAGGTGTGGTCCGTGGGGCATGGCCAAATGTGTTCGCCAGTCTCACTGCTTGTGGATAGAAGCTGTTGAAAAATCTGGTGGCAAGTGTCCGTATGCTCTTGTATCTCTTGCCTGAGGGCAGTGGGGTGAAGAGCTCATGCCCGGGGTGGTGACTGTCCTCTGTGATGGCCAGAATTCTACCATGGCAGCGGTCCTCATAGAGCTGTTTAATCTCTGTGAGACCACAGCCGATGATCTTCTGGGCCACATTCACCATTCTCTGCAGTGCCTTTCTCTCTCAAGAAGAGGTGTTGTCATACCACACAGAATTAGTTGAAATATATCTTGGCAATACAGCATTACTGCATTATTTCATTTTGAACTAACTGCATTTTAGAAAATGTTGGCAAAGGAATTCATTTTACCATAGTGCATAAAATCAATGTTTTGTTTCTAAGCAAATGCATAACATTTTTAATTTAAGACGTGACAGTTACAAAAATTGACTCATGCATTTTCATCAGGTCCTTTTCAATAAACTGCTGTGTTCTAAATGGAAAATTAGAAAGCGCTAAACCCAGAAACTAAAAAAAACCTGGTACATGACACTTTCCATTTCAAATCCTGTAAGGTGTTGGAGTGGCATTTCAAGACTAATTTAAGATGGCCTGGAGGAAAGCAGTGAAGCCGAGCTTCATCCTGTTATCAAAAAGGTACAGCCAACGGTAAACTGTGCAAATTCCCATTAAAACCCCAGACAAAATACACGTTTGCATTAAAACAACACGCAACGTTCTCATTAAGGTTTTGACCACGTACATCTGTCACCTGTATAACTGATATTTCTGCAAAAGGACAGGCGGTTACTCTGTTCAGGATGTGCCAAAGCTTTTAGCAGGAGTAATAAATCTTTATAATGCCAGTCAGGGCACTACATCATTCCCTGTGAGCTCTACTGCTGGCCAGCAGTCACCAACAGTTTGAAACCTGCAACATTACATCATCATCTGACTGACCTATTAGATCACCGCTGATGTCACAAGGCTGGCGGAGGAGATGTCACACTGGGATGAACCCAGCAGATGTATTGGGACAGGACTTTAATATTTCAATAGCTGATCGCATTGGCAGTATCCTCATATGATCACCCTGGGCAGCCCCGGCAGTCTCGTGGTTTCATTTCAGCAGCCTGCTCTCAATTTACTAACTTTACCAACACTGTGGTTTCTCTCACCCAATCTTAAACAACTGATGAGAGGACGAGCAGAACTTGAATCCAGACACTGAATCTCTAGGAATTGAACTGTCCACCCATACAGCACTGAACACTGGAACAGACATTTCTCCTCAGCGAAGTGCAATTCGAACTGTCAGTCAGTACTCCTGGCTCTCCAGTCTTCCTAAAACAGGGACTGGGTTCCTCACCGTGAAACAACGTATTCTGAAAAGATAAATACCAGTCTCTCCCCAGGGATAACTGGATCATTGACCCTCCTGAGCTCCTCTCTTGTTAATTATCAGTGTGCCTGATGCTGAACAGGCTGGCTGGGCACTGGCATGGGCACAGGACAGGACACTGCAGGTAGAACTGTCCCCTGCTGCTCGGCTCCGACAAAGCCTACAGTCAGATGGGATCAGAGCTGGGTGATAAACAGGATTACTGCACAGGCCAGTGAGACTCTAATCGCTTACTAATCACTGCTAAATATTGTGTGTGAAGCTGTGCTAACCGTCACAGGCCTGTCCTTCTGCTGTGGTCACACGCATGTCGCTACCAGAGAGGAGCTGGCAAGCGCATGACTGAGCTGACATCAGTAAACACCAACACCAACACGAGTCCTCCGAGGGTGGCATGAACTCTCTCAGTAGAGAACAAGAGTATGTTACTCGGCTGTCACGCATACAACTAAGACTGAACTCAAATTAGCAACATCAGAAGACATCGGCCCACACTGGGGCGATGCGTTCACTCCATTCATTTTTGTTTGCCTTTTGTTCTGTGGGCTAATTATAAGACGGGTCGTTGTAGCCCACTCACTTTGCAGAGAGAATAGGCAGCACTGCCTCACAAACGACACATTCAATTCAAAGCCCGATGTTCTACGTCTACTCCAGAACAGACTAACACAACTGAGACTGTAACAATATTTCCCAATATAAACCTTACAGTCCCTTCCATCAATGGTGGTCAGCGCCCCTAATTCAGCTCCAATTCACATCCCCCTACTTATCGGACCAATCCAGGTCATTCAGGTCGAATTCTTTCATCCAACTCAAGTTTCACCCGTGTGTATTCATAGCTCTGCATCAACTCTGCCATTCCAAATACAGTCTGGCCTCCTTGCCATTAAACACCACAATTTTATCTTAAACGATAAGTTTAACTTGCCATACGTTCTACTACTAATTTTAACATGCTTTTTCATAAATTTACATGCTTTTCAGTTAAACATCTACCTCAAGGAAACACAAAAGAAATCAGAGCACAGGTGTGCTGTGCTGTAGTGTGTGGTGCCGCAAAAAGAAACCATCTAGTCCCTCTATCCACCAAGACCATCACTCATCAATCGGTCACCGCAGGTCACCATCAGCTTTCAAACTCGTGCATCACTGAGGCTGCTCCGTTCAGGCCTGAAGTCTTCGCCTGCCACACAGTCTGTCTACTGGTGCAGACAGAGCAGGAAGGCCAGACCTTCATCGGTCTTCTTTTGACCTGCAGTCATGAAACAATTCGTTGAAGGAAGCCTGTATACCGCCATCTCACCACGACGGGCTTCACTGGTGTGTGATATAGCAAGATGTACAGCAGTAAAACCTTTTTCATTCGGGACCATGAATATCAGAGTTGAAGACATGTAACATAACTTGACCGTGTCCTGACTGTTAATGTTTCACTGAGCTCAACGCAGAGTACACTCCAACAACCTTGTCTTCCAAACCTGTACGTAAGCAGGGTGTTGTTTCCCATTCAGACAGTTCTGTTGATAACTGGCAATGAAATCTCCTTGCAAACATGTCAATGAGGCAGGTTAACAGCAACTGCAGAGGAAGTTAAAGATTCACTATCTACACCACAGCTGGAAAGGTCACTGAGCATCCTGTCAAAATGTGACCACAAGTTAAGAAAGTGTTTTCAAAACAATGGTTACATATAATGCCTTAATAGTGTCAACATAAACAGGGTTAATGTCCCCACCAATCATCTTTAAAATGATGCCTCAGAAAAGTTTCCAGCACTGTTAAATTTATGAATATGGCAAATCCAAACAAATACAGTAATTATTTCACATCTATATAAAACAACTGCTTTTGCCTGTCTTCCCTCAAAAGGAAAAAGACATTTGCAGACCTATTCCTAAATAAAACTTGTATTCCCATTTAAGACCCAATTAAGAGCCCAGCACCTAAAGGCAGCCTTCTATGAGGTAGAAGCAGAGATTTGTGATTGATGGGTGGGCCTCAGGTTGCCTTCATCTGAGCCTCAACTGCATTGCCTTTCTAGCCATGTAGTCATTTTCAGGGCTTCCGACATCTGCTGAATGGATCAATCGACCCCCTTATCTTTCCAAAGGGAACAACTGCTCTTTCCCGACGGCAAAGTGGCCCACAGGCCCAGTGTGCACGGAGAGAGCGGATCAGCCTTTGGCACCGAAGTACCGGCCCGCGCAGGGGGTCTGGAATCAAACCCAGCACCACAGCTTCTGCTCCGGGTTCAGTGCACAGGTCCCCAGAAACTCAATCTCCATGAGCCATCATCATACTCAAAAATAAGAAAGGTCAACATTTTTGGGAGCATATTTGAACGACTTTTGCTACTGAAGCTTTCGAACATTACTCATTTTTAAAAAGTGAGAACATTAAAAAAATACTATAATAATTCTCAAGCTACTGTATCTGTGACATCTCACCTTGAAGCCCCATTCTCCATGTGATCTTGTTAGAGCACCGTAGCTGAAGCAAACCATCATCATCTATCTAAATTCTGTGCTGCACATGAAGATGTGAAGGAATGTGAAAATGCAGTAACACTGAATACTGGAATCTGGCACCACAGCGTTAATTAAAAAGGTGTCACTATCTGTTTTCATCAGCCAGTTATGCAACGTGCTGAAACCTTCTTTTCCAAGCTGTCCGTGTTCGTAAACAGCACACTGACGACGCTCTGTCACATCGCGGTCCCACAGGGACCCCAGCACCTGAGGTCCCCTGCTTGAAGCCTGTAGTGCCCTTCCTCCAAACTAGAGCCCGCTCAGACAGACAGGCTCATGCACATGTAAGCACAGATGCAGTCCTGTCTTCACGAGCATGCAGGACTTCAACTGAGCAAGCTGGAGCACAGCAGGTCTCCCTGCCTGTGGTTGGCATGTTAGGCTATCTAAAACACCACTCCGCAAAAGTGACTGAAGGTTTTGAATTAGGGTGGCAGTCAGTTCCCAGCCCAAGGCCCTGTATTAAATACTTCTTCAAAATGCAAATATGCCCTCTTTGCATCTGTTGAACGCCTCTTTGACATGTTCTTGTACCTTTGAGTACAGCTCTTCACGGATGCGTTTTCAACACAAAGTCGGACATAACTCGAGTCATGCGTCCGCATGTACCCTCCTGTTCGGGCACTTTGTGCTCACATACCAGAAAATCCGAAGATAATTCATGAAACGTTGCTAATCATTACCCAATCTGAGTGACACAGTGTCCTGGAACCGTTACACAGAGGCAACGTTGTGCGCAACGCGGAAACGGCTTCACAATCCCCGGGACCTGCCAGCAATGTCGAAACCCGGCTCAGGGCAAGTTCGTACCGTGGGCGTCTCGCAAGCGCGGAAACCACGTGGGCTCGGACCCGAGACCACACGCCTGCGAGAAGCTCAGCTGCGGGCCCCGCCCACTTTAGTGCGGGATAGGCGGTCAGCCTTCAGAGTTGGGGGGGACGGGACATGCACATTAAAAGAAAAGAAACGAAGGAAAACAAATCCTGAAAACGAAACCCCAAGTCTAACGTCAGAGCGGGAAGCACCACATTAAAAAAAAAGTTTCCGATTGCAAATATCCCTGCATGCAAGAAGCAGACTTGCGCCACTAACACATCCTGACACCCCCATGGGCAGGGGCAGGGGCAAAATACTTCACCTTACCCTAACTCACCTGCCCCTCTGCGCTACCAGGACACACAGGAACAGACTTCAATTAAAAAAATAAAGACGCCCACACATATTCTTTTCTATGCTACAGTAGTTTAATAGCTGTCAAACGGGTTAGTGAGTCGAATGGGCTCTGTCGAGCGACCCAGCTCTCGCAGCTGAACTGCTCAACAGGTTCATGAAGACGCGACCCCACACCGCCTCTGCAGGGCTAACCCCGGGCGGTTCTTAAAACTCCTGAATGTCTTCAGGAACGTCATGCAATCTGCAAATACAAGCGTGTGAGCTTCAGCCACCTAGTGAAGAAATGTTACACGAGTTAAAATGCTCACACACCTCGGACTTTCTACAGCTACAGACTCTTTGACCCTCTACCATCTGGAAAACGGTACCGGAGCATTCGGGCCCGGACTACCAGACTCAGAGACAGCTTTTTCCCCCCTACTATCAAACCATGAAACTCCCAGCCTCTCTCACCTACGATCTGAACCCTCACAGTGCCTTCTCTCTTCATCACAACTCAAAACACACATTGAAATCTACCTCCAACTCGCATGTCAAGAAGTTCACTCCCCATAATTTTCCATCCTTGATTTCTTTCTGTTGATGTATGATTTTGCACAGCTGATGTTGTTTTGCACACTGCCTTTTTCTTTAAAAAGAGAAAAAAAATCTTTAAAAAAACTTTTCTGTTTTTTTTGTACTGCTTATCGTCTGAGAACTAGCTAAATAGCATTTCGTTAGACCATATACCCGTGTATGAGTATAATGACAATAAACTTGAACTTCACTTTCTGCTGCCTATCGAGGAAATAATGGGATATTTTTCTATGCATTCAGAGTTAATTACGCACTTGTTTCACCCCTTACTCGATACACGCGTTACAGGACAGCTGCGCTGCGGGTTGTGCAAACCACTACCGCAGACGGGTTCACTGCTCTTGACAAACACCTGGAGACACGATGAGGATGATCTGGGTGTGTCTGTCGTGAGACACCTGGTTACTCCTGATCGTGTGGCCGCTCCTGTGGGGCAGGTAATGACACCCCCAAAGCAACAACCACACTAGAGAGGTGCTGAAGACGGGTCGCCGGCTCCGACAGGGGCTGCCACGATAGACAAGCCCGAGCCGATGCGAAATAAAACCCAGCTGCCTGAGCGCCACCCTCGGCAACACGTCGGCCGCCTCGCCGGGGACTGTCAGCAGCCCGGAGCTCCGGCGGGTCGTGGCGGGGCAGGCAGACGCGACAGCCCGGGGCCTCGGCACGGCGCTGGGCCTGCGCCTCTCGCCACGGCCCGCCCGGCCGGCTGGCTGCAGCCTCCGCCGGGAACCGCGGTTCAGCACCTCCCGCCACGCACGCAAGCTCGGAGGAAGCGATCGGCCGGCTCGGCCACCCCCAGGAGAAGAGCGGAGACCTCCTTACCAGCTGCTGTCGGATCCAGCGCAGCATCCTGGTGAAATCCGTGAGCTCCCCCAGCGACACCCTCACAAACACATACGGAAATGTCTCCTCTCTCCCCCCGTCACCGCCGGCGAGGGCTCTGGGCCAGGAGCGCGTTTACGCAAAAGCGTCCGGGGCGCCCGTTCATGCGTTTAAAAGCCGTCCGGGCTCCCCATGTCCGGCTGCGAAGCGCCAACCCGATGTCTGCGGCTGGTCTTGTGCGCCAGCTCGCCCGGTGCGCGTCTCTCTACCGCCTCCTCCCTCCGCCGCCTCCCCCGCTCTGCTCTGCCCTCCGCCTGGCTGCCTGCATCGCCTGCTCCCCTCCGGCTGACAGCAGCCAGGAAGTGACGCCGGGGCCTCGTCCGCCCGACCCGCCCGCCGGGGGGCAGGCCGGCGGACTGGGGTTCCCGGGAGGACGGGGGGTCGAGCGAGCGGTGATGGATACAGTACGTGAGAGCCCGTCCTCCCAGCCGCTCCCGGCCTCTCTCCCCGTCCCCGGCCGGGCGCACAGCGGAGAGCGGGGAGCGCTGTCCGTCAGCGGGGTGACCGTGTGTGGCAGGGAGCGGGTCGGGGCTGGTACCGGGTCAGCGTCGGGAGGGGTTCTCCTCTTCAGTGTACTTGAAATATTTGGGAATTGTGCTGCAAGACAATAAAATGTGACAAGCACGTTGTTGTTTTATTGAACAGGATCAACCGTTTTTATGCACTGCTACCCCTAAACACCAGCCCTCTGGGAAATAACTGCCCTAACCCTTTCTTGTTTTTTTTTTTAAAAACTGCTTTCACTTCAAGCCCACACGAACTTCCTTGAACTCGTCACGCTCGGTGCCTGTGAGACACCCTTGATTGCTGATCACTTTCTCCTCTGACAGCTGTCACTGGCCCCGCCGGCCAGGTCCCGATATGTCGGGTGCTTGTGTGGAGTAGCAACACAATTAGGTTTGGTTCTGTCTTCAGGTGACGCAATTATCTGCTGATAACAGACAAAAATATCTTCCCCCACTGCTCTCACCCACACCTTCATAATTAAAGTTAATACCCGTTAATGCGACTCAGTTAAGCCGTGTGACTTAAAGGGCATCTCTAAGAAAGGCCTCAGCACAGCCACACCAGTCCTGTCCCAACACTCAGGCTTAAACATGATCAGATGCACAATCACAAGATCGAGGAGAGAATTTCACAACCACTCTAGGCATTCACTCGAGAGCTGCCTTTGCGTACATTTTTTTAAAAGTTTGCCATTGTTATTATAATGGCATGTTGTGTTAAACTGCAAGAACAACAGACGTTCCAACACTGATGAATCGAGACTGTTCGGTTAGCTGTCTCTGTTGTAGCCGGGATTTTTCGATACTGTGTCCAAAAATGATAGTCGTGACTCTGATAAGCGTGGTGTTTAATTCCTGTGCAGGGAAGGCTAACTACTGTAGTGGTAATGGTTTTGTGTGCAGGACTCTCTTCTGGGCACTCAGCCATCTGCTCCAGCCCAGCGCACTTCATCACAACGAAGAATCTTTCTAGTCCAGAAGGACGCAGGACCCCAGCGCTCTGCCTGCTCCAGCTGCATTCTGATTAATCACACTTAGTGTAATATATTGAATGTAAAGTAAAAACAACAAAAGTCATAACTTTTTATTTGTGTCTTTTTGTTGTCTTACCTTTTATACAGTATGTATTGTATTTTTAAAGAAGCTGTCATTTGAGTGTAGCTTATCTATTAATGGACTGGCTCTGTGTTTGTTCCATGAAGTCCCCACCATGGCCAGGGCTCTTACAGTGAATTGATTGTTTTGGTGTGTTGCATTTGCGCCTGCAGGAAGACCCAGAGGTATAGGTGGCCTGACACTTGCTAGCCTTAGTGCTCTCCATCTTTCCCAGCAGAGAGACACAGAGGACGGAGACAAATCAATGCTATAAATCTGTGTGGCTCCTATAGAATCAGCAGAGAAGCTTTGCTGAATTGCCTTTGCTGTTCAGACTCTAAAGAGACTTTGCATTATTTCTGTTGCAAGTGAGGTTTTAATATACTGTACGCTGTAAGGTAGGCCAGTCCTCCATGAGCTCTATTGAAGTGTAGTAAAGATCATGACAGTTTTGTATTCTCTCATTTTAAGCCTTTTTAGCTTTTTGGAAGTAGAGAGGGATTGACTGTTTCTGTGCTGTGAAGTGTCTTCTGTGTGAAACAAGTTACCAATAATGTTTTTGCAGGAATTTGCTGTAGTTTCTGCACAGTGCCAGGGCTCTATACCAGCTACAAGAGATCTCTGAGATTTCACAACTGTGAACCCTGCTGTGCAAGGAAAGAGAGAGCCCATCTCACTGCTTTTTTAAAATTCAACATACCTTTATTTGTTTATCAGACACACTGTTCAGATTAGGTTTGTCTTCACAAACAGAGTGCACTAAGAATAAAAACCTTGTTGCAGTACCCCACAACCCTTTGTGTAAAAGCTCTCTGTTTCTCTGTAATTTCAGTGTGCTCTGATTGGTGTTTCCCTGCTGATTTTAACAAGTTATAGCGGGTTTCACACAGCCGTGTGATCCAGGAGTAATTCCTTGCTCCCTGCTGTCATGGTGGGGACGGATTTAGCCACTCTTTAGTTTTTAGGTGGTGCTGAGTGTGAGATACAGTACACAGGCACCAGCTCAGTTGTGCTGCAAGAAGAGGTTACTTCTCTGCATGATCGTTGTAATACTAAGTTTCAGGATTTAAAGAGTAGTTTTTGGAGAGGGAAGAGTGTTTCTAATGAACAGAGCACAATGTGAAGAAGAGCAGGTGTACCACGGGGTAGATTCTAGTCTGGGCCAGAATATTCCTGTCTAAAGGTGCTGAAAATCTGAGTTTAAGGAGACGTGCTCCTCCTGCGTGTCGTTACCAGGCTGCTCACAGTCGGAGAGGAAGGCCATCCTGCATCTCTCCCAGGAGCCTAAAAACAGACTGCAAAGAGGAAAAAATTCTCCATAGGATGCTGGTTGAAATAAAACATGGAGACTTTTAATTACAGACTGAAGTAGAAACAGCTTACTGAAGCTGTTTCTTGAACCTCAATGAATATTTGCTATAGAGATTTTTCTAGTGCCAGAATCGTGCCTAAATGTGGATCTGATAGTGGGGGAGCAAAGGCTGAGCTACAAAAATGAATTGCAGACATTGTGTAGCCTGTTATGCAATCCTATCCATGTGATCATGTGTACGAGAGGTCCAATGCTAAAATCCCATCTAGGAAGATTACATAATAATATTAAAAGGGATCATCTCAGCAGTGGGTAGGTTTTCTAAATAGACACATTTTTACTAGGAGACAAGTCATTCCTGACTGTTTCAGCAACAGCAGGTTGCTGTCAAAAAAGCGAGTATCTTGGTGGGAGATAACCTGTGCGTTAGCACCACAGCAAGCTGTCTGCAGGCATCACAGACACAGGGCAGAGGGATTCATCCGCTGGGACATGCATTAGGAACAGAGTACACCGCAGGTTATTTCCCCAGGATTGCAACCATCGGACATAATCATGTTTGTTGTACGGATTCTGCTCACAAACCCTTTGAATAGACCTTTTGCCAGTAAACGGCACTGTAGAGCTTAGACAGAAAAGGGTTTTGTAGATAAAACATTTCCGCAGCTGCAAAAAAGCCATTCTGCAGCTGTGGAGGCTCCTGGAAGACACGCTTCCTGTTCAGTGTTGTGCTTTGATGCTGACAGCCCTGTGCACGTGTCACGAGTCACGAGAGTGGCATTGCTCTGCCCCACTGATTACAGTGGCTCAGTGCCAGTCAGTCAGTCAGTGCAGAGGCAAAGACAAGGAGAATTCCACACTGTCAGGTGTCCACGGGGTGGGACGTCACCCTTGTTCCACCTTCAGTGCTCCGTTACACACGCAGCAACAACGGCTCTTTGTTTAATGACTGCACTTCGTTCTCTAAACGACTGTCAATCTAAACCTGTTTTTCTGTTGAAAAACAGGTGAAAACTCAACGTAGTGTTTACACTAGGGACGTGTAAGTTCTCCATTTTTCATATTAATTTGGGTGATGCAAATTTCAGCCGTTCCCAACTTCCAGCTCTGAATATGACCCTGGGTTCCCTACTGTGCAACGGCAGCCTATAAGTCAGGTTATCTATGAAATGACACATCATGAAATTTAGATAAATGAATGTAGCCACTTCCCACATAAAAAAACAGAACAAAACAAAACAAACACTATTAAAACTATACAGCATGGAAAGAAGGTTTTCAAAATAGACAGCAGCCATATCACCCTGCAACTCACAACTGGCAATCCACTAAAGCTAAGCAGGTGTGAGCCTGGGCAGTACCTGGATGCCCAGTATAGTGACGGGGACACTATACTGTAAACAGGCGCCGTCCTTTGGCTGAGATGTAAAACCGAGGTCCTGACTCTCTGTGGTCATTAAAAATCCCAGGGCGTTTCTCAGAAAGAATAGGGGTGTAACCCTGGCATCCTGGCCCAAATTTCCCGTTGGCCCTTACCAATCATGGCCTCCTAATAATCCCCCTCTATGAATTGGCTACATTACTCTGCTCTCCTCCCCCACTGATGTGTGGTGAGTGTTCTGGCGCACTATGGCTGCCATCGCATCATCCACGTGGATGCTGCACATTGGTGGTGGTGGAGGGGAGTCCCCATTACCTGTAAAGCGCTTTGAGTGGAGTGTCCAGAAAAGCGCTATATAAGTGTAAGCAATTATTATTAAAATTATTAAAGGCGTATTTATTAAAATACGCCTGTGCTGTGGTCTAGCTGGTCACCTCATTTAGCTGCATTTCTCTGTATGTGTTGGGAAGTGAAGAACTGAGTTTCTGTGCTGATCCCCTGCTTGAAGGAGGTTCAGGTGGGTGTAATTGGTGATCAAGCACAGTGCTGTCGGAACTGATTTACAACACTCAAGGGGGTATTTGAATTGTAAGCCAGAAGTCAATTGATTTATAGTGACCTAATGGAAGCTGAGATTTAATCTGAGTCCCCTGCAGTGAGTTCTGCTGCCGGGAGTGTGCCAGGCTGCATTCATATTGATTAGCATCCTCTCTCTGGCGCGTTGAGTGCCTTTTTCCTGAGTCCCCGGAACAAATCTGCTCTTCCTTTTCAAAATCAAAGGAATCAATCAGCATCAATTTAACTGACACCACCAAGAAGTGCTACAGAAACGGCGATGAGGCCTTCTTTTTGTCCTCTCGTTTCAAAACTTTAGGGTCACAAAATCTCTTGGCAAAGGCGTCTCTTCGAGGTAAACCTCACTGGCAGTATGTACTGGTGACAGTACTGCTGTCAGTATGGGCGCTGGTCTGGGAG